GGTGGTTTTTTTCCCCATGTGCATTTTGATAATTGTAATAGTAGTACTTCTAGTGGTCACTAGTGAAAGAAGTGTTAGGCGGAAGGGCTGTTTGAATGGGTTGGCTTCACATTTTTAACACCCTCTTGCTCACGTTAGGGCCGATACACAATTCTGCAGAAAAGGTGGGTGATGGTCAATGCCCATTAAGATTTATTCAATTGATTTTTTAAAAAATATGTTAATCACACAACTTTAAGCTACATAAATACGCTAATTTTAACTCAGTAATGTAAAAGTGATAGCATGTATTTGAATTGGTTTCAGTGACATAGGTTTATTTTCTTTTTATTCCATATTTGTATCAGATATTTTATCCCAGTTTTATTATTTTGAAACAGGATTTTTAAACAATGGGATGGAGGGAACCGAACAGAGCACACCACAAGAATATAATACATAGGTGAATCTGGTACAAAGAGTCTACCTTTACTCTTAGTAACTGAAGTGGAGACATGATAGCAGTGTTCCAATATCTCAGGGCTGCCACAAAGAAGAGGGAGTCAAGCTATTCTCCAAAGCACCTGAGGGTACAACAAGAAGCAGAAACTAATCAAGGAGAGAAGCAACTGAGAACTAAGGAGAAATTTCCTGACAATTAGAACAATTAATCAGTGGAACAACTTGCCTCCAGAAGTTGTGAATGCTCCAACACTGGAAGTTTTTAAAAAGATGTTGGACAACAATTTGTCGGAAGTGGTGTAGGGTTTCCTGACTAGGCAGGGGATTGGACTAGAAGACCTCCAAGGTCCCTTCCAACTCTGTTATTCTAAGTGCAAAAATAGAGGGAGATTGAGAGTGGCCTCTGGATAGCCACTCTACTTGCTTCCTACATTTTATGTACGGTTGTAAGTGCCCTAGCTGTTTTAGATGTTGACTTGGGGGGTGAATATTGTTTGGTCCTCCAAGTATCTTATTTCCTATCCTTATATAAAGCATTGCAATCACACAGCATTCCTGATGACAGGATTGGAATGATATATTCATATCAAAACACATAACAGGACAGGCAAATGGGAATCATGGCACAGAGTTGAGCATAAGCAATGGAAGACAAAGCCAAGATAAGAGGAGAACATGAAAGTAGGAGCTGAAAGGTTACAGGTTTATTGGAATAGTACAAACCTATAGAGAAGGAAGAGAGAGTGTAGTGAATTAAAACACTGGAAGTTTGTCTAGTGTAAATTGTATTTACACTTACATTTTCTGTAATTTCCAACATTCATCAAGTTGGAGTTCATACTCAATCATTATGTACTTTGTGGATTAAAAAAGATGGTGCAGAGTATAGTAGCTATTGTCCCTAAAGTATAGTATTGAAAGGAAGGAGGAATATAAACAAGTGGAGGAACTGAGTTTAGATTTAGGAGTTGTTTAGGTTTTTTGACAGTAGTCTTTGAAGTTGTTGGAATAGGATGTTGGAGTAGAGGAAACAAGCCAATGTTAGGAAAATTGGTATCCAAGCTGGATATTAGGAAAGAGAGAGAAAAGAAGATAGACTGTGGGAAGCTGATTTACCATGGCTTAGAGAAATGGAGAAGGCGTTTGATCCAAAGTCTGCAGAATCTGACTCCCTGAAGAATGATTTAGCGAGATAGCAATTGACTGAGTAGTATCCATGGCCATTGGAAATCTTTGTTGGAGGAGGCTAGGTTATTTTGGGAGATGCTTGTTCCCAATTGTTTCTACCCATTCCATCCAATCCAGCAGAAGAGGCATGTTATGAGCCCCATCAATTAAGGAATGTCCTCTGGCAGGACTTAGAAAGCAAGCCTTTTCTGTTTTGGCACTTTCTCTTTGGAATTTCAATGTCTTGGAGATTAGGTTGTCCCTTTTGCAAGGCTCAGAAGACATAGTTGTTTTTCTGAGCATAAGGTTGGATTGACAGAGCCCATAGGTTGGTTATTTTACTTGTTGATTGGTTTTTACCTTGCCTCCCAATTATATATTTTGCTGTTTGGTTTTACTTGTCATTAGCCAAAGTTAATCATGATGGTGAGATGGGCAGTCATATAAATTGAAAAATATAAATAAATCTGGTCCCCTAAACAACATGACAACCACCATTGGTAACACCATGGGTAAGAGGAACAGAAACAGAATACTTAGTAGCATTAAACAGTGCTGTCTGGAGGTCTGAATCTTTGGGTAAGATATTCAGGTTTCTTAGTGATACCTATAACTGAATGGGAAAGTAAAGCTGAATATGAGCTTCTTTGGTACTGCTGCTGGGAAATAGAACCAGTATCAGGCACTCTGACTAGGTCCATTGATAACACTGTGGACCCAGAGTTTAAAGGCTTGAAATGATGCCAGATCATGGCAACCTGCCAGCATGAAAACTCATTGGGAACTTTAGCCAATGACTGGTTCCTGGGCTATTGTACTCCTAGCAGAACTGATAGCAGGTTAGAAATGGGAGAGTTGACTTGCACTGGAAGCTGAAGTTTGCCTTCATTTATAGGGACAGAATGTGTGTGTGTGTGTGTGTGTGTGTGTGTGTGTGTAGTGCATTACTTATCAGCAAAACTTCTTTTGTCTAAGTAGGGTTTGAGTGGTGATTGATTTTTGATGTTGAAGCCAGAATGAGCGACTTTGCTGTTTCTCTAATTCTGGGATGGTTACATTGTTGTAGTACTTGCCAGTATAATTTAGTCTGTGTAAGTTTGACTGAAGGGGAGGAATATAGTTATGGTCCAGTAATGAGGGTTGAGGGAGATATGGCTGTAAATTATTTTAAGGAAGGGGGAAACCAGTAAGTTGTTAATATTAACAGTGATGATAAAATCTGTTGATAGATCTGTAATCTGTTGATAATAATTGACAAGTCTGTGTGCAATAGTATCTCATACATACAGATACTAATCATCTCTATGATTTGATGGTAGAAGAGCACCAGAAAATGGTGAATATTATTGAGTGAATATTATTGGGTGATGGTGAAGGTCATTATCTGCCATCTGCCCTCCCAGGTTTCAAGAGCTCCAGGAGTCTCTACATCCTGATCAGAGGAAGGGTAATCTTTAAAGCACCCCCTTCTATTCCCTGTGACTCTGCTCCAAAGATAATGGAATGTGAATGGAAATACTGCATATTAAGTTGGACAGTAGGGACAAGCTGGATATTCTATTGTGATGGTTATCCTGATGCCCATGAGAATCACTCCCTAAACTGTTGATTTGGTCTAGATGCTGATATTAGAGTTCTTTCATAATTTGGCTCTGGGTGATTTCAATTTCCAGGCTGTCAGGAGTGATTTGAGCAAAGCTTGGAGTTCTCTGTAGTAATAATGAGCTTGCCCCAAATAACGTAAGACCTTTGGGGCAGTTTTGTTGAATTCCTGATCACCTGTCAACTGAAGACAATCAGTGTGTTTGCTTCCAGGCTGCCTCTCCTAATCAGCCAATCTTGGTTGGTTCCTTGGTTTATCAAGAACATCTAGGAGATGAAGTAGCAGAAGGTATGCCTGGCATGCACTAAAAAAAATAAAAAGTGAATTTCACCAAAGACAGGTGTGAACTCAAGCTTAAAACCTACATTTTGGTGATAAGGGAATGAAATCTTACTTATATTCCCTAACTACACTGGCAGATTGCTATAGAGCAAGGGTCTTCAAACTTGGCAAGTTTAAGACTTGTGGACTTCAACTCCCAGAGCTAACATGACTGGAGAAGGAATTCTAGGAGATGAAGTCCACAAGTCTTAAAGCTGTCAAGGATGAAGACTCCTGCTATAGAGCAACCCTGTTTAGAGTAGTCAGCTTCCTTTAGGGAGAAGATATAGAACTTTTGACTTATTGTAGTGACACAGAAGTCATTATTTTTATACTTATATTCATGTTTCTAGAATTCAGGGGTCTCCAACCTTGGCAACTTTAAGACTTGTGGACTTCAACTCCCAGAATTCCGCAGCCAGCAAGCTGGCTGAGGAATTCTGGGAGTTGAAGTCCACAAGTCTTAAAGTTGCCAAAGTTGGAGACCCCTGTTCTAGATCATCCATCTCCCTCAAGAAGGGGCTCTGCAAACAAACTTGGGATTCTTTCTAGTTGATGGACTTTGATAAAGTGCACTAGGATTTGTTGTCTGCCCCTCCTGACCTCATTGGAAAGACAGAAGGCGTTAGAGAGATTGGATCTGGTAACTGACATCTCACTTTGAAAGGGGAAGTAACCAGCAACTTTGAAAGAGACTATGATGTCCCACATCTTAAAGATGCCTCTCTGGATCAATCTGGATTATCGATTTTTTATCTTTCCCTACAATGGCAATGCATCATAGAAGAAACAAATTATTTATTCAGGACACTTATCTGAACATGGAATGGAGATGGCATTGGTTGCTGTTGTAGATTATCTTTATTGTAACTTGGTATAGGGTAGTGTCCATCATAGTCATTTTGGGCCACTCAGGGGTCAAGGTGCTCATCAGCCAATAGGTTGTTCAGTTGAGGGCTGTTATAGGATTCCCCTAATTCCAGGCCATTTCCGCTGTTTAATATTGATATGAAACTGTTGGAGGAGGTAAGTTGTTGGTTCAGTGTATTGTATTAGCACTCTTTCATCCTTTATCTGGAGGTTGTATTTGGATGAGATGAAAGGGATTGAACACAAACAAAACAAAACAGCTGTTTATTAGTTAAGGTTCCTTTGCATCTCTGGTGTCATCTATCAACGGAGTGACATTGGCCCTAAGAGAGGAATCCCATGACTGAGAATTTCTCCTGTTCTCACAGTACTGGAAAAGCTAATAAAAGTCAATAGGTTGGGGGGAGGGCTATCTTCACTTGTACACCTGTTGTGGCCCAGCCTCACAATAATTCAACATTTCATCATCTTCATGTAGTACTTGACTTACAACCAATTGCTCAAAGACCATTTGAAATTCTGACAGGCCCAGCATAAAGGGTCTGATTTCTCTCTTTCCTAAGAGAAAAGCCACCATGAGCCACAAAATGAGTGAGCATCAGATACATTTATTTCACTTTTATTGAATACAAGAACAGTGAGCACACACGCATACATCACCAAGCACTGAAAGAGGATATGATCGAAAAGGATGGGACAAAAATTGAAATGGGTGGAGGGGTCAGAAGGACAGAAGAATTAATGAAGGAATGACAGCATTTCAGTTGGTTAAGGTGCTTCTCAAATTAAAAAATAATTATGAATCTTTTTAATTCATGCAGTTGCAGGCCAGTTTTAGAATCAAGTTGCGGGATTTGTTGCAAACAAGCAGTTGTGTTGACCGTCTCTTTCAATGGAAAGACCCCTTCACCCAAAGAAAGCAAAGAGTGACCAACTATATCAGATGGCAGCAGAAGGTGGAAGAAACCATGATCTTAAAAGTGTGCATGGCTTCAACTTTACCACAAATAATATATATATATATTAATATAGATATCTATATATAAGCCACATCTTGCTAGGTAAACAAAAAGCTAGTTTTTGTTAATGGCTACCCATCAGTCATGCCGTGGGAGAAATCCAAAACTATTTTAGCTTTCGTTTACGGTACTTGACAAACGTTAAATTCTGGTCTTTTATAAATGGGTTTTGAAGCAATTTGTTTCCACAGGTTTTAGTGGCAGACTCATGTATACCAATTCATATAGAAGAAGCAATAGGATGTACTTTATATATACCTAATTTCTGAGCTTTGTTTTAAAATTAAAAATGAAATTAAGTTTTTTGTGGGGAAAATTCCTTTTTTTGTAACATGGAGAAAAAAACATGATAATGTCATCAAGATTTTTGTTCTGTTTCTGAAATCAGCAGAACAAGATTTTTGTTTTCTACATATTTTATGAGTTTCTAAATTTTTTGATGTTTTGGTTTTAGGGCATCACATATTCCAAAAGAATAAAAGGAAACAAAAAATCCTCAAAAAATCTAAAGGAGAAAATCGCTTGGATACATGAAAATTAGAAATGACTCTTAGAGCATAAAGTTTACATCTATGCTTTCAGTGTTTAATTAGGACATTCCTACATGCCAGAAACATCCAATTTTAAGGAGCCATACTAACAGCCAATGGCCCAGTGTCTCCCACAATGGCAAACAATTTATGATATAAGATACATCCACGTTACTCCAATGATTTCCCATTTCCCATTTTTATTTATATTTCCAATTAGAGATAAAAGATGTCATTATCAGATTCACAAATGTAAAAGGAAAAGTATAAACTTTCATTTAGATTTGTCTCATTTGTTTCTGCTTTAATTACTCTTGAGGTAATGAAAAGTGGTAAAGGACAATGTCTAGGTTTCATTAATGGCAAAGCAGTTTTATTTAATAATATCCTTACTCCCAAGCAGTATTTGCTTTTAGTAGTTTGGTTTTCTAAGCTTCACAACTTACTGTGGCAGATGAATGCATCTTTAAGAAACCCATGAATAAATCCTGTTCTGATATAGAATCATATTTAAAGAAGGCAGAGGTGCTCTTTCTCCCCGATAGATATGGTCTCCAAAGTTTAAATCTGACAAAATGAAACTGCACTAGAGTAGGACAGGACAATCTCTTTGGCAGATTCTGACATTCATGGATCAGAAATGAGCCACGTAGGTTTGGAACCAAACTTTCAAATTTTGAAAAACTGACATGGCATATACAGTAACTTTGCCCTAAATAAACACTTTGATCTGAAAGACTGCTAAATAAAAGGCCTTGAACAATGAAGCAATCTGACCTCATTCTGTTAATTGGCACATTTGAGGCATTCTAATTGGGCTGGAGTAACACTGATCCGTTTTGTCGTCTTTGACTCCTTTCATACTGTTGTATGTGTCTTAACCAGTGACAATCACAATTGTGTCACCAAACTCAAGTGAGAGACAGCTTCCTCAAAATTCCTTTTTTTCCCTATTCTTAGTTTCATGGGATACTGGCATAATCTAAACGTCTTGTAATACATTAACCATTATCAATCGAATAATAACGTGAAAATGTCATTGTCACACTTAGCACTGTTTGTTTTAATATCATTCCCCACCCTCCCCAGTTATATATAATATCCATAACTTAAAAGCACATCAATATGAAATCTCTACAGGCTGCATTTTGTTTGGTGAGAAATCATATACATATCATTTTCCTTTGCTTTAAGTGAAATAAAGTCATAATTATCTTCAGCAGAATAAGACATTAGATGAGAAGAGGAAACATTTAAAAAAAAGGAAGGACCAATTGGGGAAAATAAAAGAATCCAATGATGAAGCAACAAAAGTAGCATGGCGTGAAAATAAAGGATGATCACTACACATCCAAAATTATAAAATAATAAACAAGTGAATGGATTTTAATTCTTTCCTATCAGGGAATCATTTTGTAATTCTGCTTGTTTTGCTAGTTGATTTCTTGCTTTGTTGCAAAGCATTTTTGCTTTTCCATTCAGTGTGCAACAAATGAATTATGTGTTCTTTAAATGTAACATGCACAATGGTGGTTTATTGTATTATTAATATTATTACCATCATGATTTTTTTAGATCAGTTCAGTCAATTCTTCAATTTATTTGAAGAGGTGGTTGGTTTTGCTTGTTGCTGATGTTGCTGTTTTATTCATCTCCAGCATATAGCAGCAGTGCAAGGATGCATTTTGTTTCCTGTATATATAATATATAATATATTTGCTATTCCTTTTTATTTAATATTTTGTCTCTCAACATTATTCTTGCAGCCAGGACGTTCTATGTCTCAGTGAGGAATCCAGCATAAAGGCCCCTTCTTTACTTCAGTTAAAATAGATGCCAACTTCTAGAAATACAAAGGTCAAGATTCCTATACAAGAAGGAAAATAAGCACATAAATCAGTAAATACAATGTCTATCCTTTATCAGTATAATACTACAAGCTTGTTTGACTTTTGCAATTTAATATTCTATAACAGCTTTAGCTATTTTAACAAGACTATATTGTATAAGGTATGAAGTTCTTGCATGTTATAGAGCATCCTAGAATCTATTTTGGGATGTTCCTCCATTAGTACAGAGTACCATTCACTCTAATTGCTTTACTGTGTGAAGCCCATAGAAAACATCAGTACGGCAATTCATCCATTAGGACCAGTGTTTCCAAGCAAAAACTTCTGGTACGCATTGAAAATGGCAAGATTCTTAGCCAATTCTCATTCTTTTGCATTAACTCATGCTTATCCCTAGTTATAAACCTGAGTCAAGATATGGCACAGCTCACAAATTTAACTTACTACAATCAAGATAATTCTTCAAAACAAATAGCATCAGCCACATATAGTTTTGTTTAATTAGCCATTTTTGAGAGAGCTCACTATTATCTCACTAGAAGGGATACTCATTTTGAAAGCTACAATTTTTGTATATCAGTTACTATTTTACGATGATTTGGCTTGTAAGAATCATATTTCTCCACGCTTTCTCCACATTTATACCCACCTGAGGCTTCTTGTCCTTTTCTTCTGGAGATGGGTCTGTTTCTCTATATACTACAGCTTTGGTTACCAGCATATCAGGATGCTGCAATTTTGCCTCCTTGATGGCTAAAGCCAAAGCCTATGGAAAGAAAACAATTCACATTCAGTACTATTTCACTTACATCACCTTTGGCTCATGAGTAGTCTAATTTCTGGGTTTTGCGAGTTTTCTTCCTCAAATTTTGGTAAATCTTTTAAATTTGGCTAAGGCAGAAGAAGAAACAAATGTTTCTTGGCAATTTTAAAAATGCATTTTTAAAAAGCCTATGGGTTTTAATCTAGGCATACCCATTTTTTTCCCTTTCACGATGCCCACATTCCTTCTGGCCCCCAAATCATTCTACAGTTCCAAATGCAGCTTCAGTCATCCCAAAATGTGCACATTTAAGAACAAGTGAAAATAATTTAATTAAAGAAAAAGTAAAAACAAATTTATATCTATGAATGTCAAAATCACTATCTCTTTTGCATGGATATTCCTAACTATCAATAAGCACAGCTTTACATTGTACTGCAGACTATACTGCAGCTCACAGAGCCCAATATTTCCCCCCTCTCTTTCATGATATTGTGAATTAGGTCTACATACCATAAGTATATCTAAATTATGCAAATATATTTATACTGTTATCTCTATGTCTATGTGACTAGAACTGGAGGAAATAGTAGTTCTCTTAAAGTATTTGCATGCATACGTAAAAGCTGGAATATGGGATACAAGATCTGAACTTTCACATGTTCAAGCAGAAGAGTGCTGAATCTTGTTATAATAAACATCCCCGAATGTGCAGAGAGCTGTGTGTTTGCATAAAAGCATGATCGATACAACATCAGTTCTTCAAGATAAATGTACGTTAGATATGGTAAAGGGCAAGAGAAATTTTTAGATGAGTCCCTGAGCAGGCATGAGCAAGGGAAGATTTGGGGATTGTGATCTTCCTAACCATTGTGTATCAAGGTTGCATGCAATAACTCTGTCAGGAATTCAATGCACTCACAGGAATTCTAGGACTTGACCTGATTATCCAAATTTCCATTTATTTATTTTTTTGCAGTTATAGAAAAAAACTAAATAAGCTAAAACAGCTTCTACCATACTAAAGACTCCAATAATATAGATGGGCATATTGCTGGATTTCATTTCAGCAGTTAGAGGCCTCTTTCTCAAGCTTCTTATGGCCACCATACACAGCTTTCTCCCTTCCTGCCTTCCTATCTTGAACCATGACACCTCCGTAAATAAAAAGGAAAAGTGTTTTGTTCAACTTCCTAACTAAAAGCTTCCATTCATACTTGGTCTTGATCCACATCTTCATCTCCCGTTATGATGATTCGCTTTTCTATTCTGGTTTCAGAAAATCCTCCTTTCACAGTCTGGAATAAAGAAGAAAATAAATACTTAGCATTATATTGTAAATCTCATGTCTAAAACTGTTTTGAATGATAGCTTTTGCTTTACTGGGGCACCAGAACTAAGCTTTGCTTAGTCATGGTTTATTGAAAATCAACAATTGGCTACTTCAGGCAACATACTGTGGCATTAAAAACTACAATGCCTAACAAGATAGATTATGATTTAGACTGAAATGTATGACAATTATTACTTGTGAGTAAAAAAAATAAGCTACATTTAATTATAGGAGAATATTAGATAACTTGTGACCCACTGGATCATCCTTTTAAAGACATTTCCTTAACCTAAACAGAAAAAACAGAATGACTAAAACAACAAAAATTGAAACAAAACCAGGAATAACTTTTAACTTCCTGCTGGCAGCCAGTGGTAGGAGTCCTCTACTCAGCCTCTGAAGGACTAGGGTGGGAGTTGTCTGCCCAATCTCCAATAGCCAATGGAGCAGCCAGCCTACCCAGTCTCAGAGGACTATGGCTGGGTCAGTCTACTGAATCACAAGGTAGAGGCCCAGCAGCATGAAAGCACTGTAGTCATCATCAACTTGCCAAATTTCAATCCCAAGGAAATAGTGGATACTGGATTTTGGACATACTCTGTAAAATAGCCCATTTGAGATACATTGGTTCAAAAACTGTTGCCCTATGATGCCCTGTTTTGCCCTATTAAAGGTTAAAGACACACAAATTTTAATAGTATATAGATAGATGTGATGTTTAGAGAGGTACAATGTGCCTCTTATCTAGAATAAATATTTTCCCAGTTCCTTCACGGGAAGTGTGGTGTAAGTCTGGGCACTGGAATAAGCTGTTATTCTGTGCTCTTTCACTGATCTTACCTTACCTTGGTAACATGAGTCGTTGTGGAGGTGGAGAGGGTTTCTGCAGTGGCACCAAAAAGGCTGGTGAAGGCTTCTTTGCCAACAGCACCACTGGTAATCTGTAAACATGTGCAAAACATGATCCACATCAACAGATTTACAGTTCCTCCAAAACAGAAGTTATAGGCATGGGTTTAAGCTATGAACCCTGATACTCGGCTTTTTCTAAGACAGTTGTGAAGAGAAAGTTAATATTGCTCCAAAGAAGATCATAATCAAATTTTTGAGGGCTAATAAATTGGACCTCTTACAGACTGTTTACTTTAAATCAACTTAGTTCCGAGAAATTTGTTTTTGGAAATTTCGCAAAATCAAACAATCATCTTAACAATGTATTCAGCTTAATCATTTCTTATTTGACCCAGGTACAATTGCAGTTTCTGAAGTTCTACAGCACTTAGAAGTTTTGAAACAATTGTCTACATCTTCTAAGGCAGTAATTATCCTTTATAAGGAATTGAAAGAAGCAGCAAAATTGATATTACTTATTTACATGTGCTTTGAAATACAGCTTGACTATCCTTCTCTGGTAAATCATTGAGGAGGGGAGATGTGCATTAAACTGTGCCAATTTATCCAGTTGTTTCATGTAAATGTTAAATAGGAGTGGACAAAGAGATGAGATGTCAGGTACTTCATATAGAAGGGACCTTGAGTTAGACTTCATTCCTGCTACCAATACTGACTGGAACAACTATAGAAAGGGTGTAATTATTGCAAAACAGTGCCTCCCCTCCAAACTCCTAAACCTGTCCAGAAGGAAACCAAAACTGTTGGTATCAAAAACTGAGACATACAGGAAGGACACCCCCCATTCTGGTCCCTCCAAAGATCATGCACAAGTATGACTAATGCCACTTCAGTGCCATAACCCAGCCTGAATCTTGACTGAAAAGTATCATGATAAGGGTCCCAGGAAAAGGTCCAGAATCACATTAGTCACACTTAATGGTATCTGAATAATAATATGTTATTTCCTATGTACTTAATCATTCCAGGCTGAAATGTGAATGTTCCTACTACAGTTATGTATTCTTTCAGGTCCAGTGAAGAATTATCTATCAGACCTACTATTTCTGTTTCAGATTCTTTTGTGTCTTGTAATTTTATTACTGATTTAGGAAACAAGGATGGGACAGTTCCTCAGAAAATATGAACAATGACTTACTGGAGAAATGGATCGAAGGTCTGCAGTGCCTTTTGTATGTTTGGTACTGTGATCCTGGAAAAAAAATATTTACACTGCAACGTATGTTTATGGATCTAATCAGATAAGGGAGGATAGATGCTCAAAGACATAAGGAAAAACTGTAAGTTTCATCCACTAATTTGTTCTGGGAAATAAAAAAACTTATTCTAAAGTATAATCTACTGTATCCTGAAAGCCAACAGGTGAGCAAAGTTATCATTAGGTGGGATTTAGGGTTTGTAATCCCTAACATTTTAATATTATTCAAAGGATTTAAGGAGTTCCCAACATGTTTTGCATCTCTTACGTGATTATTTATAGTCAAACTAGGAATAATCCAGTGCTCATTTTTTAATTAACACATATCTCATATGTTTTATGTCACACTTTAGCAAAATAATTTGGACTCACTCAAATCCCTTAAGGGCCTATGTGAGAGATGGCCAGAGTTGTCAAACACCTAGAGTCATCTCTTATGAATATAAGGACCCCAGTCAAGATTAACTGAGAGGGGAAGGAATTGGAAAAAGAGCACGATCTTTCATTTTTGCCTCCCCTTTGTTATTAAATATCAGCCAAGAATGATGGTGGCTACAAGTGGCCAAGAGAGTTGGAAAAGGACTAAGTGCAGAAAGTCTCCAAATGGAACTGAGATGCAGTTGAAGTGATTGCTGATAGCAAAGATAAACAAGAGAGTCCCACATCCACCCAGGATCACAGAGGCTTTCAACTGAGAATGCTGCAATGCTGACAAATGACCAGGTACTAATGAGTTCCATGTGAATAACTTACTGAGGTTGTAGATATAGTTTCTGGGCTGACAGTGTGGAAAGTGGTTACTGCCTCTTTTCCATCAGTAGTGGTACCATCAACCTGAAAAATGAAACAGTAAAAATCAACAAAAGTACAGCTGTTAAATGCACATTCCATTTAATTCTACACAAATTAACAAAAATATATTCATATAAGATAGTAAGTTACTTCAATTTAGTCTCCTATTCATATATCTTAAAACTTGATTATAGAGTGAACATTTCATGTCTCAGACATGTATTTAGAAACAACAACAAATTGTGAGTATATTACTAGAATACATAAATTATTTTTCCACTAGCAATTTCTTCCCCAAACCCCAAAAAACTTTAACCTTAAACTGTCTATTGTTGAGTCTGTCCTAAGAGGTCTGCAGGGGGTGTGCATAAGTGCACCAACGTGCCTACCATCCCTCTCCTAATGTTTCTTTTTATTTGTATCCATTTCATGTATTCATAATCATGTCTATACTTATAATATCTGTTATCTAATACGTGCTTGACAAATAAATAAATAAAATAAATAAATAAAATTTTAGTGGGCTGTTTTTCCTATGGATTTATGAAACACATTTGTGCTTCACTTACAGCAGAAATTTATATGTGCAATAAAGTAATAATTGTAAGTTACCTGTGTAATTTCTGTTGTACCAATTCTGTGTTGCACAGAGCTGTCTGCTTCCACTTTCTTTACCATTTCTGATTTCAGATTGAAGGACTATCAAAGAGATTTTAAAAAAGGACGACAATCCAAATATTATTAATTAATGACAGATATGGCTGTTTTGTGAACAGTCCTTTTCCTGTCCAAAAATGTGCATTTTTAATTCTTATTTTGTCAAATATCATGGTTAATAAATTAATTCTTGCCTATTTAAGCTCAAGAATATTATCTCAGAGCACATATTTGATAATAAAAGACTGACTGAAAGTGTTTAAACTATATCATATGTTATTTCAATAAAGATTATAATCTGGAAAAATGGAATTAAAATTCAAATTGGCAAGAAAGCAAAGAACTCCAACGATTTGTTGAGAGAATAATTTTTGAATCCTGTTTTTGAATATAATCTATTCATTTCAAATGCAATTTCACTATGATAACAAAGATTAAGTCAGTTTTGCTCTTATAAATCCATGGCATTTGCCTAAATTTAGAATTTTACATTGTTTCCCCTTTACGTTTTCTTCCATTTGTGACCTTTGTTTTAATCAATTTGGAAAGACAATTATTTTAACAGTACAGTATCTGCTTTTTGATTTAGAGAATCAGAGTAGCCAATTGTCATTTGATTTAACTATGATGCTCATTTTTAGTTACATTATGTGTAAATACCAAGCATATTTAATACACATATTATTTGTTGAATTCATGCAACAAAGAGAATACACAAATACAATACACCCAATACAATGGAGCAGCCAGGCAAATGCAGTGGGTTAAAGTGTGATGTAACTTCATGATTAAAGGAATTACAAATGCCCTCAGAGGACAAACATGCATTTGAATGTCAGAAACAATCATGCAGACAAGACAGTCACATTTATGAAGGTAAAATGTTTTAAAGGGCTATTAAGAAGTGGGCATGTTCTTCCAAATATGAGATGGACACCTGATCAAGCGGTGCAAATGCCAAGACAGACATTACTGAAATGAAGACATTTAGACACATCTGTGTATTATGTCTTCTTTTGTACCTCTTCTGGGGTTACATGATAAACCTTTTCTTCATCCATTGCATCACCATCTTCCTTGGGAGCTGGTCTGTCAGATTCCTCAGTAGAAATCTGACCTTCTGCTTCTCCCTCACTCTTTTCCTTATCAAGCTCAGGAAGACTCCGTGAAAAATCTTCAAAGGCTGCACTTTGGTAGTCACCAATGACAGTGAAGTCCACCTCAGCCTCAAGGCTGGAAGTTGAGCTGACAGTAATGCTGGAGCACTTGCGCTCGATGGCCAAATGGTTGTCTTTCAGGAAGACCGAGTCTCTCTCCTGGTCCTGGTCTTCATCCCCGGTATCACTTTCAGGAGCCCTGTGCCGAGGCAGCTTAGATTTGTCCTCTGTGCCCTCCCTCAATCCCGCTCTCTGAATGAGACAAAAGGAAGAAAAGAAGCTAAGGCTCTAAGCACTGAATGGCAGATGGTAGCTATCAGAAGCAATGAACAGGGAAAGAAACAGTGAAGAGAAGCATCAAATAAAGGGTGTCAAACACATCCCAAAAATGATCACCAAAACTCGTCTCACAGCAAATTCTCTACAGGGACGAGGCAAGGTTAAAAAAGATTGTTTTGTTCTACTTACAAAATTGCCAGGAAAGAAATAAAATCGTGATTGTGAAAATATCAATCCAGATAAATGAGTGGATATTTTATACGAAGAAGAGGTGTGTGCAAAAGAGCAAACGTTGTAAGATGTTTAAAAAAAAACTCAGATGCTCACTGGTTGTTAGGAGAGAGTAGAAAACATTCAAAAGGAGGGGAAAAGAAGGAAAGAAGTAATAGGAAAAAAAAGTTTAAACAAAGGTGAAATCTTTGCACATATTGCAGGAAAAAGCATTTGTCAATTTCACTGAGATCAAGTCAACATGATTTTTTTTCTGGGCCTTTATTATTTATACCTCACTTTAGTTTTTACAAGGGCTATCTGTCCCGAGACAACATAACATTTGGATGAAAAGGGCTTGTGTTGTTGAGTGCTCTCATCTTGTGGCTGAGAAGCCATCTAAGGAAGCATGTTTTCGTGTTCTCCTAGCAGGATTTTAATCAGTGTAATTGACAAGAAAAATCAGAACAAAAGAGATGTCTCTTAGCTCTTCTTTGAGGGCTACACATATACCTCTCAACTGCATTACAGTTTTTACTCAGTCTGGCCCAATGGTTGTTTTTCAGCATAATATTAAAATATCATAGAATTATTTATTCACAGAAAAATCTCTCTGTTAGGTCTGAAGCCAAAAGTAATTTAAATCAATGAATAGGAGCCCTATTGAAATAAATATTACCTTTTGTCCAGATTCTGGCATGTTCAGAGGTATGAGAAAAGGTAATTGAAACACAGATAGGAATATATTTATATATATTTATATATACAAGAATCAAATATATCTACATAAATAAATATATATAATTATACAAGTATATATATAGCAGCTCAGTAAGCAAGGAGAAGGGGTGGTGGTGCATGGCTCACCATCACTTAGGTTGAGCTTTTACACCACAAACACAAGCAGTTAGTAAAACAGCACTGAGACCTGAAGGGCCACTGGAGGAGCAGCCTTTAAACTCTCTTCTTTTGGAAAGGCTTTTACTGATAGGCCTGACAAATCCTTTTCTTCCCAAGCTGGTTCTTGAAATTTGCTCTAGATTAGAGAAAAGGGATTAGTTTTATGAAGCAGAAAGGAGTTTGACTATTGCTTTACTGGACCAATGTGAAGCTCTTTGGTCTGTCAGCCAGCCACTAGCTTGTTAAGAGCAGAAAGAGAAGGAAAGTTCACAAGCCAAGACAGAAAGGGGATCAACATTAAAAAGATGCAAAGAGGAAGAAGCTGGAAGCATGAGAATGTGGCTGCTAGGGGTATGCATGGGGGTATGATTAAGGTATAAAGCTCTAGACATGTCATCCCCTCCCATCCTACCATTCAGCAATTCCATTCATAGTACTCTTGCCTAGTTTCAAGTTAGCAGCTGACATTCTCTAGGTAGCCAAATCTTTAGACGTTTTCTCCCTTTCTCTCCCTCTCTCTCACACACAGAAACACTTCAAAAGCTGATGAGCTGCCTGGGCCAGGAGGTTTGCATTCAGTAACTGAGCCAGGTCACACACACATACAGAAAGGACAAGGGATGCAAGCAGCAGTTTTCAGTCAATGGCCATGTTTAAAGCCATGGCACATGATGCATAAAGACGTGTCACACAACATGCTTTATGAACTTTCCAGTGGGACAGTTCATGTGGGAGTTACCACAGCTTCTGCCAAAGTGATTTCACAGCCAGAATCAGGAGAAGCCAGTTCAGCTTCTCTTTCTCCTCCTTGCTCAGATCCAAGGGAAATATCTTCCTTCCAAGATGACAGCTGAGATGGTTCTCCCTCACTTGTTCCTTGATTTTCAGCTTGGTAGACTGTGTCTGATGTTTCTCCAGGGTTTTTTGTTTTGCCATCTGAAGGTTGCAAAGCCACTATTAATTTGGCACAGTTGTTTTCTAAAAATGTATCTTTGTGTAGTTCTAGGTTTGATGAATCTTTTGGTATCTTACTGCCTGGACAACTACCATGGAACCCTGTTAAGGCAACATCTGGTTCATCAGAAAGTAAGCTGTACATTTCACCTTGTTCAAACATCCTAATTTTAGAAGCTATGGAATTTTCTTTATTTGTTGCACTTTTATGCTCAACGAAACCCTTTGCGCTCTCTGTGGATGAATCTGCATCCTTATGCTTTTGAGATGAAGCTGTACTATACTCTATGACCTTGAGTTGTTCCAGATTGGGTTTTTGTTTATTATGTGTAGTTTGCACAGGTTTCAGGTCCTGCTTTATAGCATGAGGAGGTTGTGAACATTCTTTGTTCCATTCAGGTGACCCAGTCTTAACAGACTGTGTAGTGTCAAGTTCTTCTTTTAAAAAAAAATGACCTTCCAATTCTGAAGGTTTAGAACCAACTACAGAGGCAGACTTTAATATTTTATCCCTAGATGGCTGCTTCAAGCCAGAGGTTGTACCCTGAATTACTTCATCTAGATTTAAAACGATATCCTCTGACTTTGCAGTATTATCTCTGGTCAGCTCATCCATTTCACAGAGCTTATCTTTAGCTAAGTCCTTCCATTCTGAAATATTATTCTTAGCCACCTCTTCTAATTTTGGGAGTTCAGCCGATTCTTGGAATTTATATTTAGCCATCCCATTTAATTCATGAGGCTCGTTTCTGTCATACTCTGACATATTATGTGAATTTGATGGTTTATTTTTAGTTGAATCTTCTGACAGGGTAGACTTATCTTTTACTATCTGATCCTGTTCACTAGAATGAACGAAGGCTCCACTTTCCATTTGTTGTTTGTTTATGGCTGAACTGTTCAATTCAATACCTTCATTTTTGGCTAATAGCTCTGAGTCAGGAAGTTCATCTTTGGTGGAATCTTCAGATCTAATATATTTATTTTGGACTAGTTTCTGACCTTCTGATAATTTGTCCTGAAGAGGCCAGCTTGAATCATGAGTCTTTTCTTGGGCTAATTTTTTGGTTTTTGCATCTTGTGATGTATGTGAATCTCTAGCTGAAATTTTTGTAGAACAGAAAAGCTGGTGTTGCGAGGAATTCATGGTGGAGTCCATACATTCTTTGGCTTCCATTTGAAGAAGTATTTGAGTAGCTTCCATTTCTTCTAACTTATTTCTTTTGCTTTGATTTTCTGAAGTTTTTCTTTTGCTTTGGTTTTCTGACATTTTTGATATCATGCTCTGTGTTCCTATGGCAGTATCAGCCTCCTTCTTATCATATTCTTTTTTCCCTTCTGGAAGACTGCTGTTATATGTTTCATCAACTCCTTTTTTATGCTCGTAAGAAGGATAAGCTGTTGCCTCTTTTGTGGAGGGTCCAGATTGTAACTGAGGCACTGATAATGGGATTATGGAATCCCTTTCATAGGCTTCATCTGTCGAAGAATATGCACTGCATTCCTGATCATCTTTGATTCCATACTCATTTGACTCTACAGGAACACCTTCCCCTGGAATTGATGAATGAACTTCTTTTTCATTGGAAGATTGCTTAATAGAAAGTGTGTTTTTGTCATCTGCAGTCTCGGACTGCTCTGACTGAAGAATTGTTTTGCTGATGTCTGACATTTCTTCACAATATGTGGGTAAGGGGAATGGAAGCACATTTTCTCCCTCTCTTTTTTCTATAACTGGGGCAAGACTAATGCAATTCTGTTCTTCTATTTGGTTTTCTTGCTTCGTTTCAAAGGCACAATTCTTTTTTTGGTCAAGTATTTCCTTGGTCTCATTATTTGTTTCATCTGTTTCTTCAGAACCCAAATAGATAATCCGTTCAGCAGCAGAAGATGCTGTCTTATCACTTAGTTTCACCTTAGTTTTAACTGAGTCAGAATCTGAGGTATCCTGAAGAACTTTTTCTGATGATTTCAAAGAAGTCCTATGTTCGCTTATTATAATTCTGTTTTCTTTTTTTGGAGACTCTGGATGAAAAGAGGCACATATTGGTCCGTCTTTAGATTGGAGCAGGCCAGTACATTGCATATTTTCAGTGGAGGCTAGCACCACATCTTTTATTTTGTCTTTTTGTTCTTCTTTCTTCTCAGGTTCACAAGAACCAAATAGTGCTGTCTCTATTTTATTGCTTTTCTCTTCTCTTTCCCCAGTAAGGTTTTCTGTCTCAGAAGATTTCTTTCTGTAATCTTTCTCATTCTTATCATCGTCCCATAATGATTCAAAATCTTCTGGACTGGCTATCATTTTGGCTTTTCTGCGAACTTTTATTTTGCTTTCCTCATTTCCTTTCACCTCTTGCTTTGTCGCTGCCTTGGTTACCCTTACTGCAGTGGGCTCTTTTGAGAAGTCCAAATCTGTTTGCTTTCCTGAGGCACCTGCACTTGATTCTTCCTTCTGGGTCTTATTAATTTGTTTTAGTGCTAGCTCTTCCAGCCCAGAAGTTCCTTTTTCTATAATAACCCAATGCTCTGAACCCTGCATTGTAATTGGAGCAAGAAAAATTAGCATTAAACATAAATTACTCAAATAGATGATAATTAAATAGATAACAAAGATCCTGATACAACATCCATGCATTATTGCACAGGAAATGACTACATAAATCTTTCCTTTATCAACCTGATGTTGACATCCCAAAGCTGAGATCAATTGAGAATTAAATTTTAACAGGTACATTCTCTCCTTTTCTAGTTGCCAACATCTGAAAATATGCCTAACATCACTGTTAACAGTATAATTTGATTATTGTAGTTTAAAACAAGCATTTTTGACCAGTTGTGCACTGATATTTTGAATTAAATGATCTCAGAGTACTCTGGTAAGTTTTCTGGATACATGTTTTTAATGAGAAATGAAGAAGAGTCAGGTTTTGGAAATGAACAACAGTACTTTTATAGCTGATTTGCATTCTGTTGAAGCTGTATATGGTTTCAAATTATTTGATTGCCTAAGAGATACATAGGAGTTTTTGAAAGGAGGTTTTTAATTATAAGTATGTTTACAGCAGAATTTTCTAATTATATATGTGTGTGTGTGTGTGTGTTTTATGTGTGTGTGTGTGTGTGTGTGTGTGTGTGTGTTTTCTTAAGTTTTTGCGGGTACTTACATGTATGGTATTCAGCTTTGTTCGGGTATTTTCCCACGTCATTATAGTTGTGCTTTTAAAGTTGTAGCAATGTTTCAGCAAAATCTCATCTGCCATCATCAGGCTTCTGTATTGTGTTCATCTGTGAGTCAGACTTTCACTGAAACAGCTGTGAAAGTCTGACTCACAGACAAACATAATACAGAAGCCTGATGATGGCAGATGAGATTCTGCTGAAACATTGCTACAACTTTAAAAGCACAACTATAATGACGTGGGAGAATATCTGAACAAAGCTGAATACCATACATGTAAGTACCCGCAAAAACTTAAGAAAACACACACACACACACACACACATTTATGCATCCACTTCCAATAGTATGATATACCAAAATGCTGTAAATCAATTATAGTTTAATTATTTGAATATCAAAGTTTGAATATAGTAGAGAATCATTAATATATTTAGCATCAATTTAATTATAACAGTTTCTTTTTTACACTGTTACTTTAATATGAACACCAAGTCTTTTTATATACATATCCTAATCTTATTTGGGATGGCACTTGATTTGGCTCATAAATAACAGAAAATAAATAAAAACATAAAATAATTGGAATAGGTTAATTATATTTAAGTTAAGCCACATTTAAATTATATACTGAGTAAACAGATCTACTTAAAGTATAACAGTCATCTGATGTGTTTCTGGATTTCTCCAGAGGCTTCTTTGTACATTGTTTTCAAAGCAACTGTGCAAACCTACAGGAAATTATCAGATCAAAGAGAATCCCTTTAATCTACTGAATAAAAAGCAAAATTTTAAAATGAAAACATTTTGAAAAATTGCACTAAAATAAGCAAATAAAATGGAAGATGGTGTTTTGCAAAACTAAAATTATATACAGTATCACAATTAGAGCTTCACATGATATTCCACTTCACTGAGAAAATCTGAATAAAATCAATTTATACCAAGCAAATTTTTATCCAAACCAGTTCAGTTCAGGGGAAAAAAGACTGGTTTAGAATTAGGAAGACAAAATTAAGAAAGTAAGTAAAAACTATATACCTATCCTTTTTTGCTTAAGAAAATAAAGCGTACATCATACCAGTAAGAAGCCTGGAATATATAACATGAAAGAAACAGTACCAAACTGCTTGAATCAATGTTTCTTAACCTCTGCAACTTCAAACTTGATAGCTTTAAGACTTGTGGACTTCAACTCCCAGAATTCCTCCTCCAGTCATGTTAACTCAGGAATTCTGGGAGTTGAAGTCCACAAGTCTTAAACTTGCCAAGTTTGAAGACCCTTGGCTTAAATAATAATGATGTTTAGTTATTGGATGCTTTATTTAGACCCATTACCACCATAGCACACTCAGCTAAAACTAAATCATCTCTATGTAACAAACATATGTAAAGAGCAAATACTGAGAATAATGGTAGAAGAATGAAGAATAACAGAGAATTAGATTGTTACTCTTATGTACTTCATTTTATAATGGTAATACTAGCATGCATTCTTTACTAGTTAAAATATTTTTATCTGCTTAAAAATGTTATTGATAATTAATACGTAAGACGAAAACTGCAATAATAGGATCTTGTAGGCAGCATCACAAATGCCTACATTTTGCAAATCTTCCAACTGTAATTCTAATGTCATGTGCCATGCTGAGATATATAACCGACAGCCCAACAGGTACATTATATTACAATTCATTACTGTAAGGAAAGCTTGGCACTCTCATGATTTCATCTGTTAGACACTACTTCTAATATTTATATTAATATTCCTCTAATACTATTTTTAATAATCCTAATCCTAAAACTTCTCCTGATTCTAGTTTCTTTTGCTTCTCTAAAACAATCACAAATAATTACACATTATGATTGCATAATCCTAATAATTATGATTCCATAATCCTAAGTAGCCACCTATATTTGGCTATGCGGCTATTGTTAATTTTTTTGGCAAAGCAACTTCCTGCCAGCTTCCCACAATCAAAATCAGTGGGGAAACTGGCAGGAAGTTGCAAGCCCCAAGTTGGGCAGGCAGAAAAGTGGCTGCTGCCCAGCGGGGGAGGATGTGAGGGAGTGATCAGGAAGGTCAGGGAAGGTGTGTGGGAGTGTGTGAGAATCACAGTGCAAGTCAGGAAGGGTGTGCAAGGGTGGATGAGACATGCGGCACAGATCAGAGAGGATGCACAAGAATGTGCAAGTGGCTGATGTGGTGCAGAAGACTTACCTCAGTCACTTGCAACCTTTCCTGCCAGCTGCCCCATTGACTTTCTGGGGAAGCCATGATGAAAGAATTCAAATAGCAATCATATGAGTCCCAGTTGCTGTTGTTAACCAAATTCCACACTCATTAGGTGAGACAACTTCCTGCTGGTTTCCCACAACCAAAGTCACTTGGGGAAGCCAGCAGGCAAATAAGTGGCAGCTGATGGGTGAGAGAAGGTGAAAGGGCGTGTGTAAGAGGCTTGGTGCAAGTTGGGGAAGGGGCACAAGAGTTCAAAGGAGTGCATGAGAAGTACAATATAGGTCAGGAATGGTGCACAGGGTATGCAAGTGAGGTGGCCAGCATGGTGAGGCAGGGGAGACTTACCCCAGTGACTTCTGACCCTCCCTTTCAGCTTTCCCATTGGCTTTCTGATGAAGCTGACAAGGAAGGTTGCAAATAGTGATCACATGATCCTGGGGTACTGAAACTAGTTGTAAGTGCGAACTGTTTGCCAAGTTCCCAGATCATGATCATGTGACCACAGGGATACTGAGATACCTGGAATTCCAAAGACTGGTCTTAACCACCATTCGTTCAACATCATCATAACTTTGAATGTTGCTGAACGAATGGGCCTAGGTTGAGGATCTCCTGCAATTAAAAACAAAGTGAATTTAGAGTAAACAGAGTACTTCCTGGACTTGTTACATGGATATGCCCAAATATGAAGTTCATATGAGAATCTGATAAATTATATTACTTGATTTTTACATTTTTAAACATGCATAAGAAGCTACAAGTATTACAGAATGATGTACCGAGCTATAAAAATATTATATAAAATATAACCTAATTTTTAAATTCAATTTTGCTTTGCATTATAGCATTTTAGATTAGGCACAAATTAATCTACAGGTAGCCCTCAACGTACGACCACAATGGAGCCCAAAATTTCTATTGCTAAGCATGACAGTTTTTAAGTAAGTTTTGCCCAATTTTACAATTTTTCTTGCCAGAGTTGTAAAGAGAATCACTGCAGATGTTAAGTTAGTAGCAAGGTTGTTGAGTGAATCTGGCTTCCCCAACCCATTGACTTTGTCTTTGTCAGAAAGTCGCAAGGGGTGGTGGTGTCAAATAACCTTGGGACGCTGCAACTAACATAAATATGAATCAGTTGCCAAGCATCCGAATTTTGATCAAGTGACCATGGGGATGATGCAATGGTCATAAGTTTGTGAATTGGTCATAAGTCACTTTTTTCAGTGCTGTTGTAAACTTGAAACAGGCACTAAACGAGTAGTTGTAAATTGAGGATTACCTGTATTTCTATTCGGAGCATGTTTGTACAAATAAGACTATGCAATTATTCTGTGTAAAACCATCCCAAACTTGCATATTTATATACATGTTTTTATATCATTAAATGTTCAGATCTATAATTCGCTACAAGTACATAACCAAGAACTGCATTGCACCATCTAAACACTGCAAAAATTATTTAAAAACTAAATTATTATCCAAACATTAAATTGATATGTGTGGCCAAGAAATTTCACATAATAATTAATATACATTCCTATCTCTCAATTGATAGGAATATAACCGTTATTTTCTTCCATATCTCATAACTTTGAGAAAAAACCTTTATACAGATATGTTACTTATCTTTGTTCATATAGAGAAATATGCTGAGTTATATAATTAAACAGTGTATGTAACTGAAATTAAGAGTTGTCTTTGGTGAAAGTAGTTAATCGGTCCTAGTAAATTCTAATTAAATAACAGCATTTATATTGGCAGTTTTAAATGATAGTTTGAATTATTGTTGTCTTAATGTACATGCTTAGCTACAACTATGGTTTATGAACCACAATCACCAAGTTCAGAAAATATGCTAAGTTAAAACAAAGCACATTCTGACATAATGTGTAAAAACCAAATCAATATCAATGTGCTGTGAAATTTGGTAGGTACTAATTGTTTGAAGGACAGGTTTAATAACAATGACCAGTTTTTTTTTCATTTTGGCTTAGTATGATTGAGAATCACTGTAATTTGTGATAGAAGTTCAACAAATCTTGATTTAGCAATGTTTGTGAACAAAACAGATTAAAGCAGTTTAACTGCTTAGTAGTCCATAATGTACTGTAGCTGTTGATTCCACTTCTCTATAATCCAACTTTTGACCACAGTGATGTTATTAAAGCTCAATTTGTTTCTTTGAGAGGTGTGGGGGGAGGGACATCTCTATGCCATAAACCACAATCAGAACTCACAAAAATTGTCAATTGCTTACTTTCAATTCTAAGATAGGATGCGATGCTTACAATAGCAGACAGGGAACTAGCTTTCATTATGCTGCTTTTGGAAGTAATTACTGGACCAGACCAGACCACCATATTTCAAGATGTGTGCCATAATGTAACTGCCATGCCACAATTGACACAAGCCACTACATTTGACAACAGGGGAAATGACAGAATCTTCTATCTACTCTATATTCCTGTACTTCTTTTTAAGTCTATGCACCAAAATTTTAACCACATCTCTTATTTTTTTTATAACCTACTTGGGTTATAAAAGTGAATGAGATAATATCTATCTGGAAATGTAAGATTTAGCTTTCTTTTGCTAATAGGACAATTCAGAAAAGAGAACAGCCTTGCTGTATTGCAGTAAGGCTGTTCACTGCCTCTGCCACCAGATGTCTCAGATTTTATTTGTCTGAATACAACACCACTGTAGATATAACACCTCTGTGGTTAAGGATATGAAAAACAAACTGACCAAAATGGATGTCTCCTTGAATGAAAAAAGGTCACAATGTTTGCATGCTTGAAATACTCAAGTGTTTCTAAAGCATTTGTTATATTAATACTTTTGTATTTGGTAGCGTTGGCCAAATTTGAAATAATATTTTATTTCATTTCAGTGCTCTGCAGAATAATTTCCTTTGTTGTGCAGGCTTATACATATCCACAAAGAGCTGCTGTATTCCTTAAAACATATTGAGTATCTTTTTGAATGAAATGCACATGCCATAGCTTTTAATTGTGTCCAGAGATATATCTAAGCCAGATCATCAGTGTGGCAAAAGTTCCTCAGAATTCAGATAATATTTGATAAACCTACACTCACAACTTTTTTCAAAGAAACTAATCTACCCTTGCTGAATTAGGTTTTAGTCCTATATTCTATCACAGTGGCCAATCAGATGCCTCTACAGAACCTGCAGGAAGGAAATGGAGGCATACGCCTCTCCTTTAGTTTCCCTTCAACTGATATTTGGAGACATTATGCTATAGACATTATGCTATCCACAATTGAGAAATTAGAAATAGCAAAAAACAGGTCCACATAATTTGCAGAGCTCACTACGGATTCTTGTACCTCCATTAACTGGGAAATGAACACAGAACAGTATCACCTTATCTTTCACTGAAGCACATTTTTTTGCCATTTTCAAATACTGGTGAGCTTTCCCGAAACTCTGACATCAAAATCATTTGGAGATTTAAAACTTCCCATGCTGAATATAATATTTTGTAATAATTCATAACTTTTCTAGCATTCCTAGTAGCTTAGAAACAATAAGATTTTCTTATTTCAGATAAATTCTAAATGAACCCCTGATTCAATGAACTTGGCTCATCAAGTTGATCAGGTTGATGAACTTGATGATTGATCAACTGCCATGAACACCACAAGCTTGAACGACAGTAAAAACTGAATCCTACAGACTTCTAAGAGCTCAGCCCTCAGTAAGTGTGAGCAATATAATAGCCTACATCAGGAGTGTCAAACTCCCGGCCTTTGGGGCCGGATGCGTTACGCGTTGGCCACGCCCACACCCAGTTTAGCAAAGGGGGGAAGTCCAATACATCACGTGAGTTTGACACCCCTGGCCTACATCTACTTCTAGGAAAGGAAACAAAAAGAGAAGCAGATATAGAAAAGAGAGAGAAATTGAAAGAGTGGTGATAACCTCAGGAGAAGAAACAAGGCTTTTCTGTATAAAAGATTCCATGATTAAGGCAGCTCCATGTTCAGATGACAGATCCTCTGGAGAATCCTCTTCTGACATCTACTTCAGCAGGAGAAACCCAAGACCCCCCAGGCAGAGATAGAGACAGAGAAAAGAGACAAGGGAGACACAGAAAAAGAAGCAGTAAATAAAGTATGGAGAATCACTCTATTTCCTGTGCATTTATTCTGACCTAATCCTTTATCTAACTTTTTAGGAAAGGATTCTTTCTTTCAACTTCCATCTCGCCTCTGACAGCAATACAGGTAGTCCTTGACTTACAATCCATTTTTTTAGTGACCATTCAAAGTTACAGTGGCACTGAAAAACATGAGTTACAAACCAATCCTCATGCATTCCCAGTCACGTGGTCAAAATTTGGTTGCTTGGAATCCAGTATGCAATTACAATGGTTGCAGCATCCTGGGGACATTGGTAGTCATTTATGATCTTTCTAGCCAGCTTCTGGCAAGCAAAGTCAATCAGAAAAGCCAGACTTGCTTAAAGATCAGATGATTAACTTAAGAACGGCAGTAATTTACTTAACAACCATAGTAAAAAAGATCGTAAAATTGGGTGTGACTCCCTTACAACCACCTTGCTTAACAACCCAAATTCTAGTGTCAGATGTGGTCATAAGTCAAGGACTACCTTTATTAATCAAGTGTCAACTGATGAATTCCGCTATTCCATTTTCTCTTTCTACTGGAACACTTCAACACAAGTCCATCAAAGCTATCCAGAGTTTTCATCTTGATTTCATACCAATATCTTTGCTCTACTTTTTTTTATATGAATGCTTTCCCAATTAAGAGTTGAATCCACAGGACCGGCCATAATACTGCAGTTGAGTTATATGTCTGCTAATATCACTTTCAAAGTACCTTGCCTGCTGATGAAGGTCTATCTGCTTCCCAACCTTTCGTTTGGAAAAAAATAATTCATGAAATGAAACCTGGAGACTTGCTATATTTCTTTGAGGACAAAAGATCAGGCAAATGCATCAATGACTTGTGCAGCTTCCTTCACTAGTTAGGATTTTGTGCTTCCAACTTTCCTGAGCTCAAGTTTAATCTATGTTTCACCGGAAGAAACCTCAACAACTTGCCCATTACTATATGTAGGGATTATAAAATGCTTTATGTCTACTCATGAAGACCAAGAAATACCCAAGAACAGAGGTCATCTCCTATGGTCAAACAAAGATCACTGGTTTATAAAATATTAACTTGTTCACTAAATTATAAGACATTTTCATTTAAAAGCTGAATGTTTGATAAATATGTGATTTTCTGCAAAGTTAGCCTGCATTTTTAAGTTATGGTTGTAGAAATTATTTCTGGTTGTGTTGAAGGAAAGGACAGTAGAATCTTCTTCCAGCTTTCTTAATTTAATCTGAATATCCCATAATACAGTAAGCCTGTACTTGACTGGCTTTGGTTACAATGAAGAAAATTCTTGTAAATGGAGAAACACTACCTTCAGTATAATTGTCAAAATCATAGGGTTCATGCCAAAATCTTGAGGGCCGACTACTACTATGTGTTTATGACTGTATTTTATAGGGTTATATGCACTGGAGTATTTTTTTTATCAAGATTAGGATCCAAATGAAGCTAAATATATATTCCACAATAAGAAGTTTCTAAGAAATTCTTTACACTCCATATCTCTGTTAAGAGATATTTTCACACTTAGCTATCTAAGTTGTGTGGGAAAGAGAGTGTATCTACTATTAAATAAATTCTGGATTCCCTTTTTGCTAGCTTACTTTCACTTCCTGATGCATTCCAACTAGGATATGGACTGAGAGGCAATAGAGATACGTTTTAAGAATCTGTTTACTACCTTTAAGTAATTGGGCCAACTCATTATAACAATGCAAATTACTTTTCCTGGCACAAATTTCTGTATGGCGACACATGAACATAATTTAAAAATTTCCCATGCAAAAGATAATGAAACTTTACTTTCAAAACAATTCTTCTGAAAAATTAGTCTTAACAGAGTTCAGTCTTTTCACTCACTGCTTTATAGACACTCAACTATCTTGGATAAATCTGCATACAACAGCTTTTTGTACATGGAAATTACTACATATATTTCTTACATGGCAATGACTCACTTTGGGAAACGTACTTGAAAAAGCGTTTGGCTTATACATTATTCTAACCTGATAGTCCACATTGCCATGATTCACATGGTAAATGGCTTTCATATTTATGGAAGTCTAATACTGTAATATCCATGTATCTATAATATGTCAGCCTACGATCATTTATATTTTCTAACCTATTCGTGGCATTCTCATTTGTGATATAGGCTTATTAGTTGTTAGGAATGTAAGTCACCTAACAGTTGGGTTGGAAAATATATAAACCAGGATAGACATTTTAACACTGTCTCTTTAAGGGAATGCTAAAATTGTAATTGGGTGTGGTTCCTCAAACGACCATCAGATGGAGCCAGAAACTTGGGTTGTTCTGTTCTGTTGTTGCTGAGAGTGTGTTCCTGCATTTCCCTATTGACTGTTACTGATCATCATTATTCTTGGATTTGATGCAAGTCTATTACTGAACTATTTATGATACTGGACTTTGTTATTGGATTATCCCTGGACTGAAAAGTGACTGCTTTAACCGTGAATGACTTGGACTGTTTGTTGAACTTTGCTTAACCATTTACTGGAAGTAAAAACCTACATTTTACTATACAGTGTATCTGTGTGCTGGTTGTGTGTTATTCTTCACCACTCTCACTATGTCTCCCTGTGTGCGCTCATTCTCCTAACGGGGAATTACCTCAACAGTTGTATTACCAAAATTTAACGTTATATGTCTGCTTTATTCAATATTTTGCCTTTCAATTTAAGCCTTGCCTGCAAGGTCTTAAATTTTGAAAAATCTTTTATGGAAATTGTATAATTCCTAAAATAGGCAATAAATGATGTTATCTATATGTCAAGTAAGGGACACAGACATACAAAATTTGATTTATGAGCATATATATGTTCCTAGGACCTTCTATCTGCTTGCCTTTAAACAAAAGAATGATGAGGTAAATTGTTATAATGCGCAAACTGAAATGCTATTTGTCTTCTTTATTAGAAGATCAGCCCAGGATAGCTGAGAGTTGAACACAAACATCTAATCAAAGCTTGGCAATCTTCAAGCCATTATTGTAATGCACAGCTTTACTTTCTCTAGTTCAATATGAATATTCATATTAAAGCCAGTACTTAGAGAAATGTCCATAACTTCATAATTATTGGAATAAACAAGAAAGGATCTTGTAGAGACAGCAGAGGGGATACAGAAAAAAAGCTTCCTTGTCAAAATATTATGGAATGTTTACCTAAATCTGACAATATTACAATTTTAAAGCATCAGAAGACAGAGCCCTTGCAAAGTAAATAATCAAGAGATGTAATGCAGCACAGTTTGATAGTACGGATAGGACAAAAGCAAAAACATCAACAGTTACTTTCTCCAATATCATTTTTCTCAGATGTGAGGACTATAACCCACACACTGTCTGGAAATGATGGCAGTTCTACTTTCAATACATTTGGAAGGCAGGAAATTGAGGAAGGCAGTAGTAAGGATGGTTCTATTGGGCCACTAGTTAGATTAATTCTTCTAAGTGGCAGAAGAATCAAGTACATAAATATAAATAGCAAAATTGTGTAACTCCAATATACATCATGAATAATTTTATATCATTAGAATAACAGCAAACAAACCTCATTGGCCTTCTCAGGGGTCCCTTTTGGCGTCTCATCTTCATGTTTGGGTGAAGAAGAAGCAGGTGAGGAAGGCAGCCTTCTATCCCGGTCTCTGTGCACAAGCTTGCTATTGGGTTCCTTCAGGGTCCGTTTCAATTCATTAATGCTGGCCTGGTGCTTTAGCAAAACATCTTCTGGTTTGTCTAAAAACTTTTGGATGGAGAGGGGAAGGTAACAACTAAGGTGAGGGTTAGAGGAAGGAACATGAGTGGAGTAAGATGCTTGTGAGATGGGAGCTTCAGAGTATTTAGAATTGGAGGCCTTATGGCCTAGAAAGTAAAGGCTCCACATAATAGACAATGTAAATCATTCAGCCACAATTTTGGTCATCCAAATGGGTTTCAGTTCCCATCCTCCCTTGGCCAAGGAGGAATTGAGTTCACTAAGGTTGCTATCTAATCCATTGGGAGGCAAGAAGTTTGGAGAAGACTGGCTTAGAAGGATCGAACTATTGATTGTTTTGATTGTTCAGGATCAAAAAGCTGCCTCTTAAGAGTTATATAGGCTTCTACTATTCTTTCTTATCTAGAGACATGAGATTCTACAGTGTCTGTGAAGCCTGGATTCCATAATTCCAGAACTAGCAACTCATGGACCAGGAAACAAACAGAGGGAAGCCAGTGTTAAAACGGTCTCCTATAGTAGTTTGTACCTACATTTCTGAAGGAATGAAAAAAAAAATTGAAGATGGGCCAAAATAAACTACAAAACAAGAAAAAGAGTTCCAAATATAGGATACATGTTCGTTGAGCATAAACTTGGGTTTATACTCATAAACTCATAACAGTTTTTACTGTGGCTAAGTTTTCACTTTCTTGGACAATGCAAGCTAATTAAAAAAGAGGAAATATTCACATAATAATTCCCATCCATTATGTCTAATTCCCCTCACTCTAGACCAGGGCTGTCTAATTCACGGCCCGCGGACTGGATGCGTCTTGCACTGACCACGCCCAGTTTAGCAAAGGGGGGGAAAGTCCCAATATGCCATGTGAAGCTGCTATGATGCTGTGAGTTTGACACCCCTGCTCTAGACCAAGAGTAAGGGGAACTTCACAAGACATTGAGAAATATCTCTGAAGCAGTTTGTCAATTGTCCCTTCACATAATGCTGATGATGTAAATAAGGACTATACAGGGTTGCAATAAAACATGCAAAATTACTGGATGATGAGAAAATATGGAGGGAATAACCGGCGCTGAACTTCAGGTGCCTGGAGAATATCTATATGCCAGAAGCCTGTGGAACAGCCAGACTAATAATGAGAAATAGACATCTAGCATAGTAAACTCAGTTTGTAAATAAATTTCTTTATTCTGATTGGAGCTTGAATTTTGTTACTACTCAAATTTGCTAAAATAAAAATAAAAACTTTTATACGTTAATCAAAGGAATTTAAACTAATTATCAATTCTGCTATAAAAACAAATAAAAAATTCCCAAACTTTGATCTGCTTGGTGGGAGCCATCTGTAGGTCATAAGCTTTGTAGGACATTATAAACATACACATTGCTACATGGAAGATATTTTGACTGGTTTTGGGGAAATACAGTGCTCCATTTTTCAAATAATCTAACAATTACATTCATAGCCTCATAAGACTGAACATTAAAAAGGGGAAATGAACAATAAAAGCAACTTTTTGATGTTGCTTTGTATATCTTGGCACTTTAGCCAATGATTAAATCTAGATTCCATTTTTAGTTCTGGCTTAAAGCTTTCAACATTCTGACCTGCAATTCAGTTATGTAAATTTGTGTCAAGGCTATGTCTGCATCTTCAGAAAGTATCTCCTTCCTGAAAATATCAGGGCCGGGATGGTGGGAAGGGAAGGATCAGGGATAATGGAATGCCATGAAAAAGCAAAAGAATCAGTTGGATGACAAAATAGTTATGATTTTCTAGCAAACAAGTAGCTGAAGAACTGTAGCTTCTTGCTCACATGACAAGATGAAGGGAAAATGCTGACTTAATGGGGTACAAGATGTAGTCTGTGTATCAAGGGGAGGATCCCCTCATTTCCACCCTGATCTGCATCTTGCATCCCATTAGAAAGGGCCACATACAATGTTGGCATTTCTTAAAAGATGAAAACTAGGAATGAATTGATGAAAAACTAAAACATTCCAGAGAATACCTCCTGTTTGTGCCTTGGGGTGGTTTCTTGATCCGGCTGGTAGCAAAAAGAGGCAGGAGGGAGGATAAATCAGTTAAGGGAACTCCTATAATAGGCTACAAGATTGCCACAATTTTAATTCAGGTATCAATAAAATAATAAATCTTTGATGCCGCACACTTTCTATAAGAGGTTGTCACCATCTTTCTAGATGTAGGAAACCACTGCATCAATTGTATAGCATTGTATTAATCCATGTAGCCCTTGTACCCTGCTTGATTTGTAATATGCATTTTGAATGAAATCTGCTGGCACGCATACAAAAAAAGCCATTTCTTCATAAAGGTTTTACAGAATCAAAAGGACAGGACTTTGGCTGCTCAAGAAGACACAACTGCAATGATTCAGCAGACACGAGCTCTGTTCTTTACATGTCTGTAAATGCTGTTTATTTGTCCCTGGCATTGTCAAAGACAGTGGCTCTGGACAAGAATGGGGTTAACATCCAGCTACAGGTTAGATATTAAAGCAATAGGACACTAGAAGAATCCAACTTGAGAGAAAGGACGATACTGCCTTTTCCAGAAAGGCTCTTTGGAAGACAAACTTGTCAAGACACTGTTACTTAATAGAAAAAGCCTCCATCACCACAGTATCTGCAATGGAGCAGTGCAGCGTCCTGGTTTATCCTTCTGCCTACAGTGAAGAAAATCAGCAAAATTCAGCTTTAAAAGCCCAAATTGGATGCATATCTCTAATCGTGGAGAAACTATGCTTCTAACCACTGAGCCCTTGTGGCCCAGTGGTTAGAATTACAAGCTAACTCTGCCCTAAGTCTGGAGTTCAATCCTAATGGTGCTCGAGATGGACTCAGCCTTCCCCAGATTGTTGGGGACAATACGCTGACCCTGTAAACTGCTTAGAGAGGGTTATAAGGCACTGTGAAGTGGTATAAAAGTCTAAGTGCTATTGTTACATTTCTAAAACTGTTACTGACACACTGGGCAAATGTTTCCTGTGTCATATCAGGAAATAAAAGGCCAGTCTTCAGATTTCAGGATGACCGGTTTCCACAAGGAACAAGATTCCAAAGGTAACAGCAGTTTAACAATGGAAGTTACAGTTTGGAAATTCATACCGGAGGCTGAACAGTATGATGACAAGTGCATGATAAACTGCCAGTGAGAACTTGTTATAAAGACTGAGAAGTATTCTAATAAATAAAAGATAGAAAAAATATTAATAATATTACCGTCGCTTTCGACAATATTTTTGGTATCTACTAGAAGGAAGCTAAGATGTTTGCATATCAAGTGTAGAATCCACCCTCCAAATGCAGATCAAGTATAATGTAGGTGTTGTACCTTTAACTCCTTGATTTTTGTTGGAGTAGTCACCTCTTCATCTTCAGATCTTGTCCTCCCCCTATACCTGTCATCTTCTCTCTTGTCTGACTCTGCTCCATCATGATTCTCACTCACTGAAGCTGGGCGGGAGAATTCTGCATAGAAGAGACAGAGAGAGAGAGGAAGAGAGAGAGCAGCCCTATTTTGTCCCATTGACTTTAGCTGAATACAACAAAAATATTATTTCCAATGTGTCTAAATGCCCCTGTGTTCAAGAATTCCTGTGTTCAAGAATTCAAAAGCTCTTTTTGGGACATGCTTTAGAAGTGTATAACATGCAGTGCCATAAAACCAACTTCTAACACTCAAATTTTAGTTTGATTCTTGCTTGTATGCCTTAGATTTCTTAGGATTGAATTCCTTGATAATCCTAAAATGTTTCTATTTACAGTATCTATCTGTGTAACAATTGATTTGCACATTATTTAAATCATCCAAATGGGAATGCTTCACAAGTGGTGGATAGAAGCTAGAAGTATGGCCTACTTCCTACTATATCCCTTATATTTTATGGATACAACACTTTTCTATACAGGTAGTTCTCGACTTACAACCAAAATTGGGACCAGAGTTTCAATTGCTAATGATGCAGTCATTATGTGACCAGACCCAATTTCACAGCCATTTTACTGTAGTCATTAACCAGGTAATGTGGTTAAGTGAATTACATGGTCTTTAAGTGAAGCTGGCTTCCACAATTGACTTTGCTTGTTGAAAGCTGGCTGTGAATATCGTAAATTGGGACCATGTGACTACAAAATGCTGCAACTGTAACAAATGCAAGATGGTTATCAAGTACCCAAATTGCAAGCAGATGGCTGCAGAGGTAGTGGTGCAACAGCCATAGCTTTGAGGATGGGTTGCAAGCCATTTTTCCTAGGCTGTTGTAACTTTGAACAGTCATTAAATGAACAGTTGTAAATTGAGGAATTAAGAAGAATATTTTGCAAAAGATAATTCCATTTATCATGAATAAGATTCACTATAGATAATACTATTTTAGATGCAATAACAAATGCTCACAATAAATGCTGTTTTTTAGCCTTTAAATTGAAATACACCCACAGTTAGGTGTTTAATTCTTCTGAAGATGTTGGCACCTCAACAGAAATCGGAATTCCACCTTTAGTTGATTTTTCAGTGTAAGAGAACAATGTAATAAGAACATCCAATTGCTAAGAGGTGAAAACTGGTGATTCAGGGCTCCTTATGCCTCTTTTTCATATCTTGACAGCACTAAAAAGATGGTGCCCCACGATGCTTGCCTACTAAGGACAATGAGGTCACTTTCATTAAGCATGGGATACACAGTTGTTAATCTACCATGGCTATACAAAAGGATAGAGGAGATCAGGTCATTTGTGGAATAGCTTCAATCTTCTCTCAGCTTTCACATTTGTTAATCTTCAAAGAAAAGAACCTGGAGTTGCTTTAGAGAATGTAAATTTATAGACAGGGAACTCTTTCACCTACTTATAGGAAGGGAGGCTTTCCCTGTCCAGAAAATTGTGAATAGAATGGTACCATTCTGGAGAAGGAGAGGAGAATGCCTTTTAGCTTCTCTCTTGGGTTTTCTTTATTGGAAGAGCTGTGAACCTCAACATCGACCACATAACGAAAAAACTATGCTGATGAGAAGTTTTATGGGAAACTATATCTAGTAGCTGCTCTGTATCATCTCTTGCAATTGATGTCTAATCACTGTTGGCAGGCTGATTGCCCAAAAGAGAACCCATCCGTTAATCAATATCTGCATCTTTTTTCTATCTAGAATCAAAGAGAGTGTATACATCTTAGTGAGCTAACTGCACTGGGGGTTTGGAGCAAAAATCCCAAGGGAGCATATTTCTAAAGCCTGGAAACTATTTGTTAACTTTCAATTGCCTCCTTGTGCTGGCAAAGGAGAGCAGGTCTCAATCAGATAATTAATTATGGATAAGCCATAGCTTGACACTGCATTCATCTCTACAAGAAAAGCAACACTCTAGAATTGCTACCATATTTTCCTTCATGTAAAATTGAATTTACTATTGCTTTTTAGACTTCTGTAAGAGTCAAGAAACTTATAAATCTAATCAATAATTAAATAAAACATCCACATCTGCTTATCCCAGGTCCCTGGGAAGAGCTCAATAGGTGGCCAAAATGCCAAATCCAGTCTGAACATCTGGCTGAGAATAATTCATGCATTCAGATCCATACAGTCATTTGCTCTGCTTCACTAGCAAGAATGTCAACAATATAATTTGAACCAAATAAATAAATAAAATAATAGGGAAATGTTTTGCCATTTCCTTCTTCCCAGATACTTTTCTGGCACTCCAGTCTAGCTTATAGTCTTAGAATTTCTTATGAAAATTCCCATCCAAATACCAAGCAGGTTCAGTTTTCCTTGGTCAAAATAAGCCAAAATCTACTTTTTGAATGGATTGCCTTTTGCAATCCATTCATGCTTTCCCTATAAATCAGGGGTCTTCAAACTTGGTAAGTTTAAGACTTGTGGACTTCAACTCCCAGAATTCCTCCCCAAATCATGTTAGCTCAGGAATTCTGGGAGTTGAAGTCCACAAGTTTGAAGACCATTGCTATAGATCAACTAAAGAATCCTTCCACAGCCCTCTGGAGAAAAATGTTCTATATCTTACCAGCAAAACATAATATTCTGATACTAGACCTCAGCCTCCCACCCACCCACCCCCAATACTTGGTTCCACCCTTTGAACAAAGCCTTCCCATACCCACCAGGGAACCAATCTCCCTCCCCCTCCCCAATTTGGGGCATACCTCCATCGAGGCTGCGAGACATGGTGTACCGTTTGCTGGAGGAGCGTTCAAAGTAAGGGGCAGGACGATCAATCAAAGCGCTGGCTTGCCGGGTTTGAGCCTGTGTTCGCCCACTGTAGCGGAATTTGGAGCCCATTACTAGGAAGCCTTTTGGAGGAGGCTCAGGTGACACCAGCCTGCAGAAAGAAAACTGTAATGGGTAAGGTTCCCTAACCTTTGAAGTTGTAAAATACTTTTGAAATTTTCATAGTGTGCTGTATGTGGCCTCACCAGATGGTTGCCATGAAAAAGGGCTTGCCTGTGGACTCATGGCTACATTAGTAGGGTAGGGTAGGGTAGGGTAGAGTAGAGTAGAGTAGGATAGGGTAGGGTAGGGTAGAGTAGAGTAGAGTAGAGTAGAGTAGAGTAGAGTAGAATAGAATAGAATAGAATAGAATAGAATAGAATAGAATAGAATAGAATAGAATAGAATAGAATAGAATAGAATAGAATAGAATAGAAGCTGGAAGGGACCTTGGAGGTCTTCTAGTCTAGCCCCTGCTCAAGCAGGAGAACCTATACCATTTCAGATAAGTGACTGTCTAGTAGTCTCTTCTTAAAAATCTCCAGTGATGTTCAAACACAAGCACTCATTTTCCAGAAGACAAACTGAGAGGCTCTGAAGGAACATGCAAAATATTTCCAATGTTTCCTTTCTATTTCTGTCTAACCATAGTTTTCATGGAAGAAGGAAGCCTTTTTACTTCCTAAAAAAATTGATTGTGGTACTGCTTTCTTCTTTTCGGAATTGGTTCACATATTTCAACAGTGGTGCAAATCTAGTTAACCACTGTTCTGATTACCTAAGAGATATTTATAGGCAATAATGAAAGCACAGGAGAATGCATGACAACATGCCATTTATATAAATCATAATTTTAAATAACCAAAGGGGGCGGGGAAGGGAAGGCAGACAGCCAGGTGGGATTGAGAGATGCCATTGGTATACCAGGTCTATGCACATCAGATTGGGAACTCATTAAGCCAATGCAAAGATCAGCACTGGTATATTCCATTTCAGAATGTTATTTTATTCAGCATTAAATCAAATAATTGCAAGTCTCTTTTTTTCTGCAGACAAGTGCCATTAAATGAAATATGTGGCCTCATATATATTTTATAGCCAAGCCTCTCAAAATAATTCAATGTTCACAATGACATAAATAAGTTCTATCAACTATAGTGATTTTTATTTTATTTATTTTACTTTATTTTTAATTTAGCATATGGAGTTTCCATTAGTTTTTGAAGCCACAATTTTAATGTATCTTTCATTCTGCCTTGCAAAGATTTGATCCCCTTTTAAACAGACTGAGATGATAGACATCTAGTTTGTGTTACAAAATGCAGGAAAGAGAAACATTGCTTTTAAATGTTCCAAGAAGTTGGGGCAAAAAAGCTGCAAAATTTCCTGTGGGTTAGTTTTATAAGTCTTCCAGTTCCTATCATGATTATTGCAGTCTGATTTGATGCAATCTAAAATTCTACTCCTTTGGTCATCTATTAATTTCTCTACGAAGTCTAAAAAGCTCTTATGCCTCAAGGCAGTATAGCTACACTATGTCAGCTTCCTAGATCTCTATGATTCATTTTAAAAACCTGTGACACCTTATCTTACTGATCGAATGGGCTTTCCACTCTCTAGAGCAGCTTATAACATTTGTATGTATACGGAAAATTATATATAACAGACCCTCTTCTTTCATTTTCTTTGAAAATCTATGGCCAAATGGTATGCAACATTGAACATTCTTACTATCCCATATAAAGGATTTTTTAACCCAACTACTATATCACCTACAGATACAGGGCAAACATACAAAATAACAGGAAAGTTTATCTCAGACTAAGCAAATTTGCTGTTTCAGAATCAGAATTTTATCAAGAGAATAGTAATAAAGACTATTTGAAAAAAAGAAAAAGAAATTGCTGAAGTAGCAGTAGCTTAATAAATCAGACTCCATACCTAAAGACCAAACTTTTAAGCAAGGAGTTATCTAGCTTTTTCCCTTCTTTTCATAATCATTTTATTAAAATTTACAATGGAAAGATAAAAGACTAATACAAACTAAGAAAAATATAAAAAAGAAAGAAAAGCAGAGATAGAAAAAAGATATATAAAAGACGACTCCCTACTTCCTCTAAACAAGTCTAAACAACTTCAGTAACTTAATGCCTTTTCTAGTATTTCAATTAAGAAAGTAAAATCACTTCTTTGCTCATTAATAGTTCAATTGTAAAAACCCATCACTCAGTTCTAATCAGCTACTGTCTATTAAGCACTACTAGAAATAGTAGCATACATATACATACATACAGAGAGAAAGAGAGAGAGAGAGACTTCAAATAAATTATTTTTATAAACCAACATTACTAGAAATAAAGCAAAAGAAATGTATCCCCATATATAAACAGATCTTTAAAATTTTGTCATTGAGTCCTGATCAAAAAGAAATTTCATTAATAGCTACCAGGAACCACAATATATATATTTTAATCCTGATCAAATAAATTCACTTTACATTCTTTTTGTTTACTTTTAAAAAGCTTGATGTTTAATCCCATCAAATAAAGTTCCATAAGTTATTTCCTATCATTTTCTCTTTGTTTTCTTTCCTTTCCAGCTTCAGTAATTTAGCACATTGCCTTTGTAAATCCAAAGTAAGAAAAGCTTTCTAAATCATTCTTCTGATTTATTATTTGTATGTCCCCTTTAGTTATTAAGACATCGGCTAGTTCAAATGTATGTTTATCATGGTATCCTTTTCCATACAAACTCTTGTAGTCTGGCACTTTTACATCCATTTTCATATCCATATTGAAAATTAGTCTGTTTTACCTAGCAAAATCTGTTCCTCTTCCATAGCCTCTGTTATATCCTTCTTCATAGTATCAAACAATATTGCAAGTAAATTGTGAGTATATTGTTCCCAAGCAACCTTAATTTCTTCCAGAGTCAAATAATATTGCTCTACTGAATTTAATGGACATCTTCTCTTTTAATTGCAATCTTTAGTTCTCTTTGGTTCCCTCAAGTCAATCTTCAAAGTCCCCTATTATTTGTTTATTTTCCAATCAACAAAACTTTCTCACAGGAGGATTTCTTACAGTTAATTTTAAAATCTTAACATATTCTTTTATATAAAGTTAAACATCCCATAGGAAATATTCCTTCAAATCCATTTAGTCCTTTAACTTGCCAAAATCAACATTCTCATCCCCTTTTTGCTGTTGTTCAAAAAGTTAGTTTTTCTTTTTAATCCTTAAAGTTACATAAAATTTCCTTCATCTAGAATAGAAGGAAACTCTCTTAGCACGATGAACATTGTTCTCAGGGGTTGTTAAGAACCAGAAAATCATAAGTAATCAACTTTCTAAAGTATTTAAGAGAGTAGGTAGGACAATTCAGTGTCTATTTGAAGATGCCAAACCACAACTTAGGCAGGGTGATTTCTCCCTCTCTCCGTCAAGTTCTCAAACCCTTTGGAGATCACAATTTTACAATTTATTTGCAGAGGGGCTCTGAATGGAGCAAAGATATAGATAATCCTAGCACTCTTTTTGATCTGGAGAGATGTTCCAAGAAGCTGATCCATTCACTGGTTCCTCTTTTCCTCATGGCCATTTGTTCTCATCTTGTAGTGCCATCTTCAAACCATTCAATTAGTAAACTTAATTATCATCTAAGTTATTCATTTGACCAGCATACTAAATAACTGTATGAGCCACACAAGACAAATATAATGCCTGTAATATTTCTAAAGTAGCAAACTGGACTTAGTTCAATAAAGGGTGCTTTGAAAACAAATAGTTTATACTCATTTCTCCCAAATGCCCTTTTTTTTTTCCCCTAGAAAGGGATGTGGAACAAAGGCCACATTTGCACATATCTCTCGTTTGAACCCTTTGTATTGGTTGTGTATGCTGACATCTGCTGACACAGCTCTTTGGGGGAAGATAATTTATATTTCTATAAATATATCCACTGTTGTAGGTTGTACTAATATGATAGCATCTGCTTCCAAACATCTGTTATTTTATCAACACAAATATGGAATTTGTATAAAGCCCTGGGGGAAGTTTTAAAAATTCAAAATCTTAAAACTACTCTATATGCCAAGCAGGATCGTGACACATCATGCAATAAAGATTATGTGCCATCAGATTGTTTTCAACTCCTAGTGACCTCATAGATGCAATTTAAAAAAAAGAGTCTCCTTCATAGATATATCCACACAGGGTTTCCTTTCTTTTAGCAAAAACATAGAAATGGTTTATCATTAACTTCTTCCAGGATGTTTTTTCAACTTTCCAGTCTAGCCAACAGCCCTGCTCAATTCACTGAAGATCTTTCATCTTATCTGATCTGATCCTGCTTAATTCCTGAACCAAGTTAATGCCAACCAGGTATTACCACCTGCTAAAAAACAGAATAACACAGCTGAAAAGTAAAATATGTAATTATAGGAGAGACAGGGCCTTAAGTCTGCATAAAGATGAAGGGGATGACTCTTAGTACTTTGCCACATTGCTCTTGAAATAATTAAGTTTAAGAGGACATTATCAAGTCAAATCTAGTCCAATTATACAGTCATTTGTTTGCACCACACATAATATCTCTATTTGTTTGCTGCCCAATTACAACACTGATAAAATGAAAAAAAAATACTGAACATGTTGCAATGTGTCTGGTTGAAAATTTTCTTGGTGGGAATATTCATCTGTTTAAAGGAGCTGAAAGGAGCTTCCATGGGGATCTAATACAGGGATGACCTAGAAAGGATTTGAAGTTCCAAACTCACATTTCTCAGTCTTATTTGTAATATTTCACTATAGACTCTCAACTCTTTCTTAATTTCCCATTTTCTCACCTGAAAAAAGTGTGATGTTCAATGCAAACTTTCCAGAGTCTCTTAGCTGAGCGATGGTTGGGCAGCTTGAAACCAATGGTACTCTCAAACTGCTCATACTGAAAACACAAGGGGGGGGGGACGAGAATTGTCAGTCAACCACAAACTGTGCCACAAGGAATACCATGAGGCTCTCTGTGCTTCTCCACATGCATTCCTTTGTCCATGTGCTTTCTTTTTGTCTCCAAGATGGGAGGAAAGCATTTCATTACCTAAATCACTGTCCTAAATGCAGTACTTCTGCAGAGAACTGGGCAAATTTGCTGTCAAAACAGGGGTAGAGGCTGCAGTACCCAGCAAACAATGGAATCAAGGAGACTGACAGTGGTAAGTACAGACAGTGGATACAGAGAAAAAGTAAAATGATCAATAAAGTAGTCTAGTTTTCCCAGAGTAGACAAGTAAAAGGAAGACAAGAGCTCTCAGGTCCTTATTTTCCTTTAAAGGAGTAGGAGAAACAAGCCTTCACAATTATAATGGCCCAAGACTGTACAAAGGTAGCTTCACAAATGAAAGGTGGCTTCTTTTAAGTCCCCAAAGGACAACAGGCTGATCAGTTTCTCTCTTTAGGATTCTTGTTCCTCCCTACAACTCTTTAGGTTCTTTTGCTTCCTAGGGAATGGAGTTTTGAACATGACAAGCTTTATAAATAATTATATAACTGACCTAATTTCTTGCAAACTACTGACAAGTGTTTCTCCAATGGGAATATCAATCTCAAGGAAGACCCACTGGCTATTCCCACCACTACAAAAGCCATTATTTGCTAGGCATTCAGTCTTTCTGGCAGCCACCATGGAAATAGTTGTGGAGGCACAGAGCAAGCCCAGCAACTGAATGAGAAGAACAGTTCTACTGCAGGCCAATCAGAGTCTGGGGGTAGGTGCTGCTTCCAGATGAATCATAATGTTTGCCGGAGAAGGAACAGGAAGGTGTTACTATGCTTTCTAGTAGAAATTCTCATGTCCATATAATCACCTTAATCAGGCTTTAGCTTGCATTAGTAGCAGGCTGTTACTGAGATAGAGGCTTCCTTGGATGGATTTACCCTCTAAAAAGTGAGCATCTCAGCACCAGGGCAAGGATAGTAGATGAGCTTTCTGAAGTACAGAAATCCTCATATGGTTTTAGTCTACATATGATCACTTGTTACTACTTTTTTGAGGTTAATTACTCAATATAAAGTAAATCACAAAAGTGGCAGGCATTGTTCCATTATTCCAAATACAACTGACACAAGAATCTTTTCTTCATAATGATAATCTTCACAATGAATTCAAAAGGAAGGGAAGAAAGAGAGCTCCTTAATCTCTACCAGGAAAGTAAATATTACAAAAAGAAAAAGAATTCAGAGCAACTTTTATAGCATTTTTCTCTCCTATGTTTGGAATAAATTAAGAGGGGAAAAAATCCTTTAAAATCCTTTAGATTAATTTTTCATTCTATACTATGCTTTAAAAAAAAACAACAGAGGCATATGCAATGACACCCAAAACAAATACTTCCTATTGAGCCAATTTGAAATCTGCTGACACATGATTTTAAAAAAATCATTCAAATGATCTACATTATTTTTATTTCTTATTTAATGGAAAAATGCTAAATATGTCCTCTCTATCCTTTATACTCTCTCTTTTTTTTAAATCTTTCTTCTTTTTCTTTGTGAAAATGCTTACCTCACCAGGTCGAATTTTGATGTAGAAGTTACTTCTTTTGTATGAAATCTTGAGGATCTTGGGCCAGGCAAAACGGTTTATTCTCAGCCTGTCCCTATATATGAGAAGGCCATTGGCACAAACACCCAGCATGATGTCAATGCCTTCTGAATCCTGGGCAAAAAAGGAAAACATTAATACATAGAAATCTGCCAGTACAAAATCTTTTTAAACAGACAAGAAACCAAGGTTAATACATCTAAGGGGCAAGGACCCTTAAATACCAAGACATTTCCCACTTAAATACTAAGTGGGCCACTGTTTACCCCCACACCTGTTAGGATTATCATGTATTTAAAAACTAGAGGAAGAAAATACTAGCTGATCCTTTAAAAGTTTAAGAGCTATGGATTGTACCAAGACCTCCTGGAAAAAAATATCAGGGATACCTTAGGTAGGAAATATGTTTCCCTGGAATAGGGCATTAAATTGATTGACATACATTTTTTTTTATAATTTCCAGTGCTTGCAGCTTCATGTGGCTACTTCTATTCATTTCCAGACATAGTTGCACAGTTCCACTAACTCCAATACTCCACTAAAGCTGGTTTCCCACCATGGTTTTTTTCCCCCCAAGTGTGTATAAATCTCAAACCATCCACGAAGGAACAAGGAAAGGATTTATAGGTTCTAGAACCTTGTCTTTCATTAATATTAAAAACAATTTTCTTGTGCTAGGAAAAGCAAGAGCTCATGACACAAGTCCATCAATCATTGCTGCTCCTCATCTATAGTACTTGAGGTATTTTGGCTTGTATCCTAATTCTATATATAGCATTCAATGAATTCTGGGCAAAGACTATTAAAACTGGTGCAGAATGGAAACAGACATGCATTCATAATTGTGGATCAGGGATGGAACACTTTCTCTTTTAGCAGCTTTTCCATTTCTTTTAACGTAATAGAGCAGGGGTGTCAAACTGGATTTCTTCAAGGGCCAGATCAACATTGTAGTTTTCCTCTGCAGGCTGGCAGCGGGGGGGGGGGGGGCGGGAGGGGGGTGGGGGGGTGGTGGCACGGATGCTTCTGCAGCACCCTGCCAGCCAAAATGGAGCCTGTGCCTTGTTTTTGCCCTCCATGGCCTCCTGCAGCACTCTGCCAGCTGAAAACAAGAGCACGGGGCCTGTTTTGGGGCCATTTTCAGCCCATTTTTGGCCTGTTTTGGACCTGTTTTTTTGGCCTGTTTTTCAGCCAGCAGAATGCTGCAGAAGGCCATGGAGGGTTAAAACAAGGCACGGGGGGGGGGGGGGCACACGTGGCCTGTTTTAGCTGCCAGAGGTACTGCGGGCTGGTCCCTTGATATTTCCAGGCCAGCCCTGCAGATTGGGTTTAAGCACCCCATGGGCCGGATCCAGCCTGTGGGCCTTGAGTTTGACACCCCTGTGATAATAACATTTTGATAAACATTTGTGCTCCAACTTTTAACTCTTCTGCTACTTGTGTTACCTGTCCATTAAAGAATAAAAGTCATCCAACAATCATTGTGCTAAAATAACAGTGTGGAGGACAGGCTTTATATTTTTTCAATAATTATATATGCTGTCAGTCATTAATGGGAAATGGCTTCAACAAAATTAACTTCTTTGTTGTGGAGCAAAAAGTAAGGGAATAATGCAGTAACTAATACAGAAAGAAAAGGAGAAAATCTAAGGAACAGAGAGGATAAGAAGTATAAAATATGCAAAAAATAAATGAATAGATTTCATAATGGGACTTTTTCAAATAAAGGATAACATGTTTCTAGATTTCTCTTTAAATCTTTCGTTAAACAAAATTCCACTTTTCAGTCCATTCTTACTGAAAATATTCCACACCATGGTTGCAAAATACCACCTTTTTAAAACTCAATTGAATTTAAATTTCAATTTCTAAATGTTTGTCTCTAGATATCAAAATAGTTATTTCTATGATAGCAACTATATAATTTAATTTTAAATGAACCAATGTCTTCTGCAGAATTTGTCAGAAGACAAAGTAATATTTTATGTTTAAGCATGGTATCTCAAATGAAAGAACACATAAGTTTCAGTGAATGCCACATAGTTTAAGCAAGTCTTTAAAAAGGAGTAACTATTGCCTCAGAATAATCCAGGATTTCTCTCATTCAAATGCCCTCAAAACTCTACCTTTTTACTAAGAATACCTTAGCATGATGCAAGTCAACTCCATACATTGAAAGTTTCTTGGCATTCTCCAGGAAATGAATCTCTGCCTCGCCAGGTGTCATACCCCTTTAGAAGAAGAATAAGACAGAAACGGAAGTAATAAAAAAAAAGAAAATTACACACTGTTTGATGAGCAAAGGCTGACATTTGTATAAAAGGCTTTTTTATGATGAATATAGGAAAATATAGGTTATGCAAATCTTTTCAAAAACTTGTTTGCTCTTGATATTAGCAGTAGTATTAGTTATTCACCGGTAAGTCTTATGTAGCTCCATTATACGCTCTTCCAATTCTCTGGTCTGATTTGGAGCAAAACGTAGTTCACCAACATAATTGCCAACATGTTCTTCAGTATCATAATCCCCCAGTTCAGCTTGTACAGCATAGGAGCCTAACAGTGCATGTGTTACAAAAGAACATGGTAGACGTCCACTGATAATATCTGCTCGAAGTTGCAGACACAAGTAATACCTAAGGAGAGGAAGAGGTCAGAAAGTTGAAATGTCCATAAGAAAAGCAAACAGCTAAGGGATGATCATGTATCCAGACAAGCCTGTTCAATTAGTAATCCACCATTAATTACAGCATGTCCATTTTACACAATAGTCTTCTGGGGAATCTGATAAACTCAGCAATTGCAATTCTAAATTTTAGTAACTTAAATTTGGGGATCTGCTTGAAATGAGGGATAGTCAACAAAGCTCACCAGAAACTTGATGAACACCCAGTTTTAATTAATCTCATGTGACTAAAAAACTGTACCATTTAAGTAAGGCCACAATATAGGGGCGTGCATAAGCGCACCAACGTGCCTACCGTCCCTGTCCTATTGTTTCTCTTATTCTTTTATTTTTCTTATATGTACCCATTTCATGTATTCACAACTATGTATACGCTTATATCTTGTAAACAATTGGCAAATCAAATAAATAAATAAATAAATAAATATTTGGGTGATGGACTATTATTGTAACCTTCAACAAGGAAATACAGGGAATTAATGCTACAATGAAGACTTTTTGCAAAACAAGTTACCTCCATTTGGCAGTCAAATAGGAAACAGCACCAAGGTATCTGACCCAAACTTTCCCTCCCCTTCAATGCCAAGAATGCAAATGATTATTAGGACAAGGAGCATAGTGGCTCCTATGGTTAGAATGCTGGGCTGATGATCGGCAGGCTTGTGTTTGAGACCCAGTTGCTGCCACGGGACAGGCTGAGTTCCTGTCACTCGTTTCAGCTCTTCCTGACCCAGCACTTTGAATGCGGGAGACCACATAGATGGGTACTACTTAGGAGGGATATGAAAGGAACCTCCCAATGGGGTATCCCCCAGGCAACAATGTCGTCATTGGCTAGTCATTTCAACCTGGAAGTGCTTCAGTGCTCCCAACATGACTGGAGTAATATTATTATTTATTATATATTTTTTGCTTCTTTCCAATGGCCAATATTTACAATAGGAATAACAGCCTGGGAAATTGTCATGCTATTTTACTTAGTTCTTGGAATACTTCTGAGTAAATAATGAGACACCGGAACTTTTTACTGAACACAAATTGGCATGGAAGTTGTGTATTTCCAGCCTTTGAGATTTATTCCACACAGATAAAATAAACTATGACTTCATTAACTATTTTCTTTTTAAGAGAGTTGTGTAAGAATTGGCCAAGACAGATACATTTTTACTTACCTTGTGATGTCCTCTGTGAGTTGGGCTGGATCTGGTGGATAAAATTTGACTGTGAAGGCAAAATTCCAGGGGCCACCTAAATAAGTGACAGAGAGAAAGAGAAGGAAAGAGAAAAATATTAGGGCATATGTTTAGGTGATGCATCTTTGATTGACTCTCTCACACATAGTTTTTATTTCTTTTTTTAGTTGCCTCACATTCCCCTTTACTCTAAATCTCTAAGGAAACTATAAAGGACTTTAACAAGACACACTGCGCAGAATTACTGGAGATTCTTGCTTCCCTAGATCTTAATGGCTGAGGCGAACAGCAGGTATACTTGCCTTTTAAGGTTTGCAATAGGCAAAAGAGTCTTTGCTGTGCAGAGAGACAGTCACTTTGTTGTTGCCATGGAAACAAGCTCAAATTCTCAAGAGAGCCTGCTGTTGGGGAAAGACCTCTAGCAACATTTCTTCAAGACACTGCATCACGAACCCTCTTGCTCACACATATCAGAGACATTATTTGCTTTACCTTTGTGAAGCAAAACTGTGCTTCATAAAGTTTGTGTGACACAGCTGGGTCTCATGGATATTATTTTATGGAGTTGGTAGGAAAGAAACCCTGCCAATAGATTAGACAGAACAACTTTGGGATCTTTTCCGTCTCTGACCATTACAAATGGAATTGCTAGGATTCAGAATGGTACCCATCTGGTATGGATACATCCTTCCCTTCTGATAAATTGGAAAAAGGGGATGGGACTGATAAGAATTCTGTGCTTTTTTTAAATGAGATCGCTCTCAATCATCTCTGGGAAAATGATCTCTAAATGCGAAGAGAGCAGGGCTAGAAACTGAAAGCCAGAGACTCAAAGCTTCTCTCCTCAGGCAGAATAAATCTAGTTTTGTCAGTTATTCCAAATCTACCTGCTAGAAAATCGGTAATGGAGATTCATGTGAAATACATACAGAGGCCCAGAAACACCACATTCATTTGAATAGCCTATAGTAGTATATTTCAACAGCCAGTAAAATCATTGTAGTTCTGTACAGTATAGAGCATTTCAAATGAATGTTAATAATTTACACAGTGATCTTATTATGCAATGTGCTTTATATTAAGTTCTTGACTATATACTTTTGAATGATGGCTTCCAGATTGAGAAG